CCGCCCGCCGCAAGGGGAAGCGCAGCGTCGGCAGCAGAGGCTGGGGTGCGGAGCCCGGGTGCGGACGGATGGCTGGGAGGCCCCCCCACCCCGGCAGAGCGAGCTGCCGCCAGATCAAAAGCACAGCCACAAGCAAGAACGAGAGAAGAAAACAAGAAAACCACACTGCATGAAAGAGGCACAGGAATGCGCCGAGAGATGGAGATGGCCTACTCTGCATTGGGAGCGGTTTCTGAGTTTTGGGGTTGGTTTTTTTTTTCATTTCAGTTTCCTCCCGTGTCATGCCAGCGCCAGCCTGGGGGAGAGCTCTCTCCAGCCATCGCCTGCTGGGTCTCAGGGCTGGAGGGAGCAAGGGGCTGCTCTCCCAAGGAGATGTTCTCCAGGCCAGACTTGGTCCTGCAGGCATCGTTGCCCAGAGCAAGACCGCTCACTACCTCAGCTCTCCTCTTCCAATCCCTCAGAGAGGCAGGGATTATTAAAATAAGTCAAGAAGGAAATTAAACCAGTTTAATAAGAGGGGGAAGTTAAAATGAAATGGAAATCAATATTCACTTGGGAGGGAGCCCTGCTCCTCCATTGCTAGATGTGCTTATAAATCAAGTATGCCTGGACTGTTTCTGGCACAGAGGCCAACTGGCATGAAGATGGTCTGGGCTATTAAACTCACTTAACCTCCAAAATGAACTGGCTACATGCCAGCCGCCTAATGGGAGTGGTCCCTGGCCCATGCTAACACCTAAATGCATCCCAGGAGTTGCTCGGGAGACCGAGAGTTGTCCTGGGCCAAAAATGTGTCATGAAACATTCTAGCAATTTAGCAGGACTGATGAGTGTGTTCCAGTGCCTGGGGACATTCCCTGACACCGCTTAATTTATGAGTGCCACCATGAGATACAGCTGGGCTGCCTGTAAGGAGGCTTCAGGTCTGCTACAGGCATCCGCTAATGAGAATGGCTTGCTCAGCTAACACAGCAGAGCCTTGCTCACCAAGATCTGTAAACTCCGGAGTAGCATTGCCTGTGATCTGGCCCGGAGGGATACGGGAGGAGATAGGAAGACAGGAGAAAAATAGGAAGTGGCATGCACGAGAAGAAGTAGAGATAAACAGGGAGGGAGCGAAAGTGTATGAAAGAAATGCTAGCTGAAGGCAACCCGTTTTCCCCACTGACTTGTAATGTGTAGATGGTAAACATCATATTGTAGAGATCTCCCACAGAAATACAAAGATTAGTGTGAATGAAGTAGGAATGCAGAACATGTGAAACCATGAGAAGAAACAGAAAAACAAAGGTGCATCAATCTGCATCTACCAAGCTGTGCAAGGTCAGCAGTTCACCGGTCCCACAGTGCTGTGGTTGCGTGGTTTTGCTCAATAACCAGGTAGCAAGAAGGAAAAGAACAAACTGAAACCATAAGATGACAGGAAAATAGAGATTCCCAGCCAAGACAAAATGGTGGCGTGTGACTCAGTGACTTCATTAATTTTTACCTGTTCAATTACCTTCAGGTTTTATATAAAGTTTGATGACTTAAAATATTTGAAACCCAGCACTAACCCTGTTAATCTGTAGGTATCACTTTAGAGTGGGGGCTGACTTTTCCTGCTGGTCCCACTGGGACAGGTGATGCGAGCATTCTCAGCAGGGACAAGGTTTCTTCTTTTGTCTCAGGAATGGATCGCACTCAGGGCCCTACGCCAGTTCTGGGTTATAGATGTTTCTTCGGAGTGAGATGCATACAGATGCCTTTTTGTTGCCCCCTTCTTTATTCTGTAGCATAGCCCAGCAAACTGCTTGATCACTGCTACTGCATCTTGTTAGAGGTGATCTCCAATCACATGCACTGGCTCCTTTGTTTTACTATTTTCACACAAAACAGCTCGCGCAAATATTCCCTGGGGCTGGGATGGGTTTTTTGCTTTGCACAGGGCAAGCCACAAATCTTCTCTGACTGTGCCTTTGCCATCTATTTCTCTTCTGGTGGTGCACATGGCTGCTGCCTTGCTCTTGCACCTGTATTTTTCGTATGTGCCTGGGCGTGCATCTGTCTCGCTGTCAGATTGCCGGTCATGCTGACCTGATCTCCATGTAAATGTAGTGCTGATGTTTTCATCTACTCTTTGATAGTTTCATGTGCTCTGATAATTTAAATTCATTTCACTATTAAATTATCCTCTAACAGAATATATTATACTTAATATTTCACATAATACATATAAACACTGTATAAAATTATTCTTGCATTTGTTTGGAGTTCAGTCCCATTATGACTCCAGGCATCAGTCTATCACACTCTTGGCATGGGGAATGCCTGCTTTCGGGAAGTGAGGTCACCTCACTGTTTTTGCTCACTCCCCAGACCTGCTTGGCTTCCTTTTTGTAGTATGTGCCTTGGTTTAGGGAGGGAGAGCTCAGTAGTCTCCTCACACCAGCAGTCAGGGTCCCCTTCACCTTGTCATCCCACCCAGCTGCAGCTGATACCAGCACTCGGTCTCTGTTACAGTCAGACACTTCATCTAATTTGATAACTCACCTTAACATGATAGTTAGCTCCCCAGGTTTTGTTACCATCAGCAAGACTTCTTCCTTCGGATCTCATTCTTCTCTTCTCCCCAGACTTTTTGTTGAACAGTCCTAAGAATTCAAGCAAGTTTTTCCAACAACATTGTACTTGGTGGTTATTGAGATTTTTAAAATAAGAAATAAGTAGACAAAAAACAAACCAACCTCCTGCTCATGGCTGGGTTGACTCTAAAACTACAACAGATTGTTCAGGGCCTTGCCCAGGGAAGTTCTGAACACCTCCAAGGGTGGAGATTGCCTGGCATCTCTCGGCATCTATCCGAGTGCTGAACCACCTTCAGTGGGAAGAAATTTTTCCATACATCTAGTCAACAGCTCCTTGCTGCAACCTATGGCTGCTGCCTCCTGTTCCTCTCCCATGCACATCTGAGAAGAATGTGACTCCTTCTTCTAGATAATATCCGTTAGATAATGGGAGACTGAAATTAGATCCCACCTTGGCTCTCTTCTCCCTACCAAACCCAGCTTTCTGTCTCTCCCTGTATGTCATGTGCGCCAACCTCCTCACCATCCCAGTAGCCCTTCATTGGACTCTGCCCAGTTTGTTGGCATCTGTCTTGTACTGGGGGCCCAAAACTGGGTCCTGTATCCTAGATGAGACCTCAGGTGTGCCAAATAGAAGGAAATAATTACTTCCCTCAGCCTGCTGGCTGTGCTCTTGCTAATGCAGCCCCGCATGTGTTTAGCCTTAATCGCTGCAAGAGCGATGATAACCCACCATAGAGAAGTAAAAAAGCACAGAACTCTTGGCAATATAAACACCTGCAGTCCAATGAACGCCAGAAGCCTAGGGATGAGTAAAATTAAATGTTTAATACCAAACTCAAGGGGGAACACTGCAGCTGAATGCTTTGCTTAAACACAGGGCTCTGGTGACTTTGCCAATGAGTTTCCACTTTGCTGCACTGAAGGATGGTGGGTGCTGACTGGGAACACAGGCCCCATCCACCAAGGTCTCAAAATCAACCACTATTAATGGAGTATTTGGGTCTTGCAGGATAGCACCCTTTGGCAGTGACAGCATTTCCAGCCCTGCAGTCCGCAGCAGGGACCTGCAGCAATGGAGTTATGCGGCACGGGGATGAGCACCATGCTTGCCACCTTCTTGGTTCTGCATCTGGGTGAGTCCTCGGCTCAGCAAACCCTCCCTGTTCTTACAGCCTTTCCCCAAGCCTCACAACATTTGGGGTGTTTTTAGGCTCCTCCTGGTTTGCCACATAACAAACCTCACAGGGTTTAGAGCAGGCCCATTCCAGCCACGAAGCTGTGATGGCTGCTGCCTTACCTTGCCTGGCCCACCCCTGTGCTGCCCGACCGCTCTCTGCAGGGCCAGGCAGCGGAGATGAGGACAGGAGGGCTGGAAGCAGAGAGGGTCCTTACATTCCCATCCTGTTATATTCAGAGGCAGCATGGACAGCTCAAGCTTTGGGACTCAGGTTGTTCCCAGCCTGACTGCTGGCCAAAACCAGGGCATCTGGAGCATCACCAGGTTTGGGAAGCTGCCCTGTAGGGGTGCAGGATTGGCGCTCCTGTGAGAGCCAGGGTGTACACCGAGCACAGAGTGGAAAATACCACCCTCCACGCTGCCTCCAGCTGCCTGGGCAAAAACATGTGTTTCTCATCCCAGATTTGCCCTTACAAATGTGATGCTACCAGCTTGCTTAGTTTGACTGATAATGTTTTAAGGTTTGATGAACTTTTTAGTGCTCATTTTCCAAGAAAGGAAGGCAACTGAATAAGGCCAAGATTGGAAATCTTTTATGCACCCTAGAACCAAAAGCAAAGCAAAAGATACCAACTCTTATTAATAACATTTACAGTTTCACAGTTTAAAACAAAATCATAATTTTCTGTGGTCCAATGTGCCGTTATTGACACCCATATTGGCAATGTTGCAGATTACCTGTGCTCTTGGAGGAATATGTAACTTGTGGAAAACCCTCCATTAAACTCATGTAAACTTTCTATTTTGCACTTCTGTGGCTCTCTAGTATTAGGATCACCTGGGGGATCTGCAGGTTAGGCAGCTCTGAGAGCTAACCACCAGTGAGGCAGGAGACCACAGCCCCCTTATTCCCAATTGTACCTCTGGCAAATCCATCTCCTTCTTACTGTCTCCTGCAGAAATCTTCTTTGCAGTAAAGAAAAGGAAGTGGTTCTTCCAAGAAACAACTCCTAGTGTTTCTTCAATGTTATAGATCTTAATTCTTTTACCGCCGCATAGCCCTCATCCCAGGAACAAGAACCTGACGTTAGGCCAGCCTTCTTTCTTTCTTTTTTTACTTTATCCTTCATTTTCCTGGGCCTTGAGTCTTGTTCCATGCAAAAATTGGAAAAGGGGGTAAGCAAATTTGCCAGTGCTGCCTCTAGTCTCAACTGGGGAGTGAAGAAGGACTGGCATATGCTATCCTGCCTTTGCTACCAGTAGGACAACTAAATCTTGACCAGTGGAAAAAGGTTGTTTCAGTAAAACAGTAAAACATGTCAAAATTGTGAATGACGGTGAATCTGCCACAACCTCTGATATTTTCCCTTTTTCCAAATGTATGTGAAACAGAAGAGCCATTAGCCAGTTAAAGAGCCCAAAGCAGAGGGAAGCTATGGAGCTGAAAAGAAAAGGGATTGACTGATTGATTGATTGATGAGTCAAAGGAGTGAAAAATTGAGGATAATCTTCCCAGTACCTGGGAAAGGGAGGAGAAATATCTGTGTCTTTCTGGAGGGATGGGAATTATTCACTGAACCACCCTTCAGAAAGTGACCATATGCCTTTGTTGGTGGGTATTGTCTTTCAGGTCTGATCCCCATTGTGACTCAGCAGAACAACGTACAGGTTGGGGTTGCAGGACAGGCGGTGATCCTGAACTGCCCAGGCATGCCTCATGGCACAGGTGTGACCTGGAAGTACTATAAGGTTGTTATAAGGTCATTTACAGACCAACGCTTGAAAGGTAAGGCTTCTAATTCATCACCCCTTCTCCCCAGGATATGGCTGAGAAACCTCTTCCCTCCTAACCAAGCTTATTTTTTCAAAAGGCAAAGCTGCCATGGCCGATCGATCTGAATACAACCCCACGAGTAAAGGCCTGAAGGTGTGGGACTTAAAGCTCTCTGATGCTGGCAACTACACCTGTGAATTCGACCTTCACACAGTCAGAATCTCACTGCATGTCTTCGAATGTGAGTGATTACAGGGCTTTTATCCATGAGGAGGCGAGGGGGGAGGAGATCGTAGAGCTCGGAGAGACATCTCTGTTGGGATTCTTTATCCAGCTGCCATTTCTTCTGGCCTGGGCTATCATAGTTCATTTCTCCTCCATCTCCAGGGCACAAAGTCTCCGCATTCTCTTTGCTGTGATACTTGTCCCTCTCTCGCAGGAAGAGGAGTTGACTTACTGGCTGTGCTGCTTCTTTTTACAGTGACGATCTCTTCAGACGGGCACTTCCTGCCAAATGAAGTCCCCAAACTGACTTTAACGCAAAATTCACCGCTTTCTCCACCCAAACTCAGCATCACATTGTTTAACAGTAACAACAACATAGTAAGACCAGAACTCTTAGAAAAGAAGAACCCTCAAACATACGTACTGAATTTAAAGCAACTGGAGACTACAGACAACGGGACCTGGATGTGTCATGTCCATTCAGACCCGTGGATTAACCAGAGCATCTCCTTTGATGTGAAGGTATTAGGTATGCAACAACAAAAATGCAAATCACACACAGGCTTGGGAACCAGTGCTGCCTCCAGCTCATGAGCTGAGCTTTTACTTTCCAGCATCCCAAGAGATGGTGCTCCAGGGGTCTATTTCCCAGGGCTTCTGACACTGCAGCTGGGGGATTGCTGTGCTGCCTGAGCTCTGTTCCACACTTGCTCCCATTTTCCTCTTCAGGCTTGGTAAGGAGAGGATCCTCCTCTCCTTGGGGTCTGTTCTTCTCAGCTCTGGTGAGCTTGGGAGCCTTGGCTCTTTAAACGTATTCTCAGACACTATGTGTTTATCCTTCTGAATTCAGGTTTTCAGAGTCCAGATTTGGAAAGAAAGTATGCAACTGTTGGTAGCACGGTCATCTTGTCATGGCACCTGAACTTCCAAAAGATAAAATGGAAAGAAGGTTTCACAGGACAACTGAATTGGAAACAACAGGAAAGTGCAACCCCTCATGAGCTACTTGATTTCAATGTCACAGCACGAGGAGAGAAGCATGAGACCAAAAAAAGCAGCCACTTTTGGTTTGAGATACCTGAAAGCAAACCTAAAAGTGCCATAGAAGTGAAACTCCCCAAAGTCCATTTCAACCACTCTGGGCAGTACCAGTGCCAGCTGGCATACAACAGAAGATCTGTGCAGAGCAAGATAGAGCTGGTGGTGATGAAAGGTGAGAGAACGAGAAGTGGGTCAAGAGATGAGGAGCTACAGAAAAAACGGAAGCCACAAGAGTATGGGTGGACGCATTTTGCCATCCTCTCACTCACATGTCCTTTTCTTACCTTTACAGTCTCAGCTAACCCTGCTGGGCCACTCCCCAGAGGGGCCAAGATGACCCTGATCTGCCAAGTCTCTCGTCCCCTCCCATCCAATGCCCACTTGCTCTGGGAACGTGTGAATGGGACTGAGGGGGACACCAAGAAGTCAAAGCAGCACGAAGTAAAGGTGGAGGTGAACGTCAGCACTGCAGGGCTGTGGAACTGTCACCTTGTAGAAGATGGTGACAGGAAGATCAGCCTTAATTACCCCGTGGGTATGGAAATCAGCATCACGTCCCTGCCTCCACCCAAAAGCCTTAACATCCTCTTTGTTTCTCTGTCTGAATACTTTTCTCCTTCCACAGAGGAAGCTCCTGTTTGGATTAGCTATGTGGTAATTGGAGCAAGTACTGGAGGCAGCATATTGGTGTTCAGCCTTGCGGGCCTGTGCATCATCAGCGGTATAAGGTGGTGGCGGAGAAGGGTGAGTGCCCTGGTCCCTGTGAAAGATGAAGAGATGACAGTCTCCCCAAACCATAGAAGGAGTCTGATTATCTCTCTGGATGTGGGGCAGGATAGATAAAGGGTCAATCCTTAAGACTCAAAGCAAATAGTTAGAAATGGACAGTCTGCAGGCGTCAGGCAGCACTTTACTACCACTTCAGGGGAGAGCATTTGAAGCATAAAAAATGTCCAATCATTATTTATCCCTTCTCTCCTGGCAGCAACGGGCAAGAAGGATGGCACGAGCAAGACAATACTTGCTGGAAAACAAGACGTGTCAGTGTCAACAGTAAGTGGCAATGACGGCACCCAGAATGGGCAAAGACTCTGGTTTCAAGACAGGGGAGCTGAGTGGTCGAGCAGGGAGAAACAGAGCTTGAGCCTGCTTGGTGCTACAGTACAGCTGCATTTCAGCATTTTCAGCTCTTACTCATGTTAAGTCATGCTTAAGAGTTATAAGCTATGTTTAATGAATTTCCTGTTATGCCCCAAACCCATGGAAGCACTGTGATGGGAAACTTTTGAGCAGTGAGGTTTCACTTGAATTACCTTGATGTTGAGACATGTTAGCCAAACCCAAGCAGGAGCTCCAGAGTCCTTTGATAGGTTCCACAGTGGATCTGTGACCTGGGTATCAAGGTTGCGGCGGTGGAAGGCACACAGCCAAGCTCAAGAATGAAACATGGATTTTAAAAATCCATGATGTCCATAATGTAATTCCAGCTCTGCTAGCGCAGTGCTGGACGGCCATCTGTGAAAAATGCCAATAACCTCCTGAGAACAAGGAAAGAGAAGAGAAAAATCACAGAAGACTGTGAACCATGCACTCTCCCAGAGGCCTTGGGTGGTATGAAATACACCAAAAAAGCTGCCCTTTTCCAGATCTTTAAGCTTATGTGGTATCAGGCATCAGAAGCAGCTGTGGAGAAACACTGACAGCTATTCTGTCACTGGAAGTGGAGAGTATAAATGATTGCATGAACAAGTCCAATGAATGTCTAGGTACAGAACTGGACTTCTGCTCAGTTTTCACTGGTGCAAGTGGCAAACTGATAGGTTCACTGTCACTGAGAATTCAGTGAGAACGTCCACTGGCAGATATCATTTCATAGTCTTTCACCTCTACAATACTGGTACTCACATAATATTTCTCTCTTGCAGCCGGCTGAATAAGTAGTATTGTAGCACTGGAGTCGGAAGGACCGATGAAGTCTCTGCCTGTACCTGCCAGCCCACAGTGCTCTGTGAATCCATCTCCCTTTCTCCTCTTCTGATGTACTTCTTTATTCCTCCATCATTCCCCCAGTCTAATGCCATGGAGGAATGGTGTCTGGCTAGGAGCCGGTGGACAAGAGAAGAAACCCTTAAGGGTTATGATTGATCCCCAGTTCTATAATGAGAGACACTGAATAGAAGATAGATATATATGCATATATATATATACGCCTTTGTATTTTGCCCATGCACTTAATTTGACCTTCTTGTGGAACCAATTTTATGTGCTTCTTTTATCCGCCTGAGCTACAATAAATTACTTCAGGGTTGGGTTTTTGGGTTTTTTTGCAAGCTGGACTAAATTTTCTCTGAGGCACTCTTGTCTCATTCAAATTCGCATTTCTCCCTTTCCTGCTAGGATGTGGAATCCTGATTCTCACTATCTCCCAAATCCCTGGCTGCCACAAGCCTTCCTTAATGCACCAGCCCTCTGCTCTCCATGAAACCTGTCCATCCTCATTTGCCTTTCCTGGGCAGTCTGAGCCCTACAGTACCCCCCAGACCTATCCCTCAGCCTGTAGTCTTCACCTCTCCCACAACAAACCAATGCACAAGTGAAAACACCATGGGCAGTGGGAAAATTCAGGACTAATTTTGTCAGGAAGGCAGTTGAGGATACCAATAGCTTCTGGAAATCAGAGCCTGAAGAAGTTGTGAACGTTGACCTAGAAGGTAAGTTGGGGAAGGGGGTGACAAAGACATTTCCTAGGAGAACAAATCATCCTTGGACTGAGCAAGCCCACAGAGTGTAGAGAACGGATGCTTCTGAGAAAGCCACCAGAAATCGTTCTTACCAAAATGACTCTTTGTTGGCTCAAGGAGATCGGAAG